CATAAAACATGTAGGTAGTTTTAAACTTCAGCCAATGACTGCTGTTCTGCTGATAAAGAGGGCAGCACTAATAAAAATCCAATTCACAGACAGATAAGATGATTTCTACAGATTCCATTTGTACTCCTTTAAAAATTATCTGAAGCATTCATGTTCTGAGAAACTCCCCCCCACCCCCAAAAAGGAAGTAGTATGGGGACAGGAAGAACTGCCTTACTTAAGCAGGAAACACCATTATTGAATTGTGCATGAAATTGAATTTTGCCGGATATATGTAGGAAACCGTTTTGAGTTGTCATCACCCCCCCCCCCCCCCCCCGGGTGAGAAAAGTGGCATACAAATGAAGTCAATAAATGAATATATTATTGTTATCCTGGCAGTATGGCTGCTCTTTCATTCTCAATTGTTTATAAACCAGATTATGTTGATGGGGGAATGGAGTGCTGGGGACAGAAGCCTCCACTGGTTGATTCTGACACCATATCACCCTCTAAAATCCAAGGCAATTTCAGTCACACAAATGCTGCTTCAGTTCACAGCAGAACAAGAACGGGATCCAACTCCTTTTATTTGAATCAGACAATTTAAGCACTTCAAAAGGAACTTAAAATTGCCTGGCTTTCGCTGAATCATGCCCATATTCCATAAAAGTTAAAAAGATTACAAAGACTTTTTCCGCTTTAAAATATTAAGAATTCATGTTTTAGAACCCCTCTACCAATATACCATATTCCACACTGTAATGAATTACAGTAAATTCCAATTTAATCACATGTTCAAAATGCAGCTGCATATAGTTTCAGAAATTAAAACTAAAATACAAATAAAATTCTTGTAGAATTCTGGTTTCTCGTGATAAATAGAAACTGTTACTTAGCAATATAGTATTATCCATGAGGTCATCCTCAGATTCAAGGATTCATATATGCTTAGAAAACGTAATATATAATCCTAGTTTCTTCTTGCATTCCATTTCCTCATATACAGTAGTCTACTTTCTCTCACACACCTCTTTGTCAACCTATATTAAAACCAGCTTTTTTGTGACATTCTGAAAAAATGCTTGCATTTTAAATCAGTCCTAAAGGATGCATACATTTATATATTACCAGCTTTTCATTTAATATGTGCATAAGTAGAGAAAGAAAATCGTTTTTCTACTTGCATACATCAAAAAAGAAAAAGAAATGTATTCATTTTTACAGCTAAGCAACACTAAAATGCTTTTTTATTTTAAAAAAAGTCTTTTTTATAAGATGCCTATGAATTGGAAGAAATTGTTAAATATTTATTTTGCCTCTTAAGAGTCATAAATGTTGCACACCTATTTAAAAATAAGCTCCATGCTTCTATATAAATTAGACCTATTTGGGAACAATCTACATGACAACAGTTTGTTTAGTCCACACAGATTGCTGAAATTCCTTGTTTTTTTTGTTAAGTACTATTAATAACAGTTTAATGTTGCTAAGGCAGTTTCAGAGTTGCAGGCTCCTTTGCTTTTGTTGCTTAAATTAAAATGAGGACCGTATCACCACCTAGCTATTTTACCCAAATGGAAATATACAATAATTTTAAATACTGAAAATGAAGCTCTTGTTTTTCCTGCAAACCATGAGGAAAACACTAATTAACAGTAATTACCAGTAACAAATCTATAATTCATTCATCCCCAGCAAACTACAACCCTGAATTATAAGTTTGGTTCACATGACACATTCACAGTCATCTGCCAACTTCACTGTAGTTCAGATATCTTTCTTAATCTTACCCATTTTAGCTACCTACCTTATTTTGTACAGCGTAAGAGGAAGTTGCAAAGAATCAAAATCCTTTTTTTAAAAAAATAAACATTTGGGGGGAAAGTCTCAATCAGCATTCCTGGCTAAAATGTTATCCAAGACTGTGTACTCATTTGCCGGCAAGATTTCCTTAACTTTCTGTAATCCTCAATGAAATTCTCCAGGGTTATGGGAAGAGAGCTCCTATGCCACATCACATTTTCAGCTAAGTCTGATCAGAAATGAAATTATCTACAGGTCAAAATGTCAAAACCACTTTCTTTTCAAATAAGTAAACACAAAAAAAAGCCCTGCAAGTCTACAAATTCCCAACAAGTTCAGTAACACAGAAAAACGGATCTTACTCATCCTATGTCTCTGCCTCAAAGGAAAACCTTCTGTTGTGCATGAACCACAAAGCTATTATATATAAAGGGTGCCATGGTGAAGCCATGGTGCATGCACCGGTCTGAGGGACTACAAAAGCTCTCTGAACACACCAGGAAGATTGAATATCAATTTGCTAGAACTGGTCTTTCAACAACACAAATGGAACACAGTGCATCGTCACTCATTTTGCCATTTTAAATGTTTTGTCCTTCCCTTATTCTTCGTCTCTTTATATTACCAGCATTTCTCACTGCATATATGGCTGGGGGGAAACAAAGGCATCTCAGCAGATACAGATAAACTGCAATTTTAAGAATGGAAGATGAATTAAAATTATATTTAGCTACAACACAGGGATACATTGCAAGGTTTGAGATTGTGTTTATGATCGGTATCATAGTCCAGATTAATCCCCAATATAAAACAGGCTACAGGAATTATTTTGCCTTCCCTATCTCCTATTTCAACAACCCAGAAACCCCATATTTACTAACCCAAGTTCTACAATTCTCTGAGCTTTGAAAGATGTATGGGCAAATATAATGCAAAGATAACAGAAATGCAGATGGGTATCAAGAAACAGATGCAGCTTCATGATAGCCACTTCAAGCATGATCATTCAGTTTTTAGCCACATCCTAGTTCTCCCTTAGTGAGCATGGAAGGCAAGTCATAATAATGTCAATATTTGAAGCATATCTTCCTCCAATCCAACACCATGCCATTCTCCTTGCAGTTTTTTTCACTTGTTTATGGAATTGTACCAACATGCAACATGCTAATGAAACTGCAAACCAAGTACTAACATCATCTTTAACTACATCACCTCTACTTGTGCTAAAGAAAACTGGGTGCGAAAGATGCTGTCTAAAATACATAAACATAAATACAAAGCTTTCCTTCAGATATCTACTCAAATACTAAAGTATTTTCAGCCCACAATATATTATTCTCATAGGAGACTGTTTTGCTGCTGAAACACAGTAAAAGCCACAACTCATCTAGCCACAAAGTCAGGTCTAAGGACCATTCCATACAATATATTATTCTCATAGGAGACTGTTTTTCTGCTGAAACAAAGTAAAAGCCTCAACCCATCTAGCCATAAAGTCAGGTCTAAGGGCCCTTCCACACAGCTGAATAAAATCCCATAATATCTGCTTTGAACTTGAATATATGGCAATGTGGACTCGAGATAACCCAGTTCAAAGCAGATATTGTGGGATTTTCTGCCTTGATATTCTGGGTTATATGGCTGTGTGGAAGGGCCCACTGCCATATAACCCAGAATATCAAGGCAGATAACCCACAATATCTGCTTTGAACTGGGTTATCTGAGGCCCCTTCCACACAGCTGTGTAAAATCCACATTGAACTGGATTATATGGCAGTGTGGACTCAGATAATCCAGTTCAAAGCAGATATTGGCCCCTTCCACACAGCTGAATAAAATCCCACATTTTCTACTTAAAACTGGAATATATGGCAGTGTGGACTCAGATTACTCAGTTCAAAGCAAATATTGTGGGATTTTCTGCCTTGATATTCTGGGTTATATGGCTGTGCGGAAGGGCCCTAAGTGGCTTATCTGCCTTGATATTCTGGGTTATATGGCTGTGTGGAAGGGCCCTGAGTCCACACTGCCATAAAATCCAGTTCAATATGATTTTATACAGCTGTGTGGAAGGGGCCTCAGATAGCCAAACAAGAGTAGGAGACTTTAACTTCAAGTGTAGTTTGGCATCACCTCCCAATCAGACCAGTATTTAATTACAAAAAAGGCAGTGTTTGGTACTTTGGGAATCTGAATTATTTTATTCAACTGGTATTCCAATCGGGACCACAACAGGAGAGAGGAAAAGCCCACTCTTCATGGCAATCGACTCTTGACAAATAAGATACAGGTTGAACACCTCTTCAACCAAATCCCAAAATATGAATCCAAAATTGTCCACATCGGTGAATGAGATAATGACACCTTCAGTTAGTTGATTCAGTCTGCACAATCTTTATTTTGTGCATAACATTATGTAAAATATGATTCATATGATTACCTTCGGGGCTGTATGTACAAAGTGCATAAGAAACATAAATGTGATGGGTCCCATCCCAAAGATATCTCATGAAGTGGGATATGCAAATACAGGTATATATGGATCTGAGCTCCAGATCTTCACAGTCAAATGTACTATCCTATCTACACACACATCCAAATGCAGACAGAGATAAAAAAGCTTCTGGGAGCAACCAGAATGAGAAGGATTGCCCTGTGTCACCCCATGTGCCCCAATGCACAAGAATGGGGCACCTCAATAGTATTCGCCCACTTTAACCCCTGCATCAGGCCGCCCCAAAGCAGCTGCGACTTGAGACATACATTGAATTGTAAAGAAAGGGGAGGGGGGAGGTCTGTTCTGGGGCCCTTCCACACAGCCATATAACTCAGAATATCAAGGCAGAAAATCCCACAATATCTGCTTTGAACTGGGTTATCTGAGTCCACACTGCCATATATTCCAGTTCAGAGCAGAAAACGTGGGGTTTTTTTATTCAGCTGTGTGGAAGGGGCCCTGGACATTAAAGCGTGCGCATCCCCCAGACAGACACCCCAGCCAGGCCTCAAGAGTGCGCTAAATGGTTCTGAGGGAAGGGAAGGAGGCACAGATGTATCTCATGAGGATGGAGAGATGAGGCGCATGCACGCGCGCACACACACACCTTCGTTTTCCCTCACGCTGGCTATTTGAGGAGGGGGGGGGTTAATGGGGAAAGGGTTTTAACGGTTGGAGGGCCCGCCCCCGCCCCACAGCAAGAGGCAGCGGCCCATACCTGGATGTAGTTGCTCTCGCAGTACTCTGCGACCCGCTCGAGGTTGGTATAGCTATCGAAGAGGGCCCGGCGCCCTCCCGGGATCTCCTCCTCCAGCAGCATCTGCAGCTCCGCCATCTTCACATCCTCGCGCGCGCGCGCCCGCTCGGCCCCGCCCCTTTTTTCCTCCCTCGCGCTCGGCTCTTCACCCGCCCCCCTTCCGCGCGCGCGCTTGCCCTCCCTCCCTCTCTTCCTTCCTTGGCGACCAACTGCTGCCGCCTCCTTTGCCTCGCGCTCCTTCCTCGCGCTCTCCTCCTCCCTCCCAAGCGTTGCTGTGACGTCCTCCTCCTCCCCTCCTCTCTCCCTGAGAGGGACAGTCCGCGGCGCGAGGGACCAACAGCGCCGGCTGCGCATGCGCCGAAGCCCTCCGCGCGAGCTCCTGCTTGGCTCTGCTTCACTGAGGCCAGGAGGGACCCGAGAAGAGGAAGTCGGCTTCCACGCCTTTCTCCCTCACTCTCTCTCCTTGCTTCTCAGGATGCTCTCCCTGTCACACACAGGCGGGAGTGGGCATGGCATCCTCCGCACAGCTGAGGCAGAAAGAACCTTCTGCCTTGGTCGCTTAAGCATAGGCTGGGACATTCGTGCTTCACTTCACAAGGCCTCTGGCCAAGAAGAGGCATTAGCCCACTCCAGTCTACAGAAGCAGAGCTCCTTTTCCCCTCCTCGTCCTCAGGCCAGCAGGACATCTTAGATAGCATCACCATTGGAAGGAGGGCGGGAGAAAAGACTTTCTGCATCATCATCATCATATTTAATTACTTATTAATCACCCTCCATCCGAGATGCTCTAGGCGGTTTACAAGCTAAATTGTAAAAGGTAAAAATACATACATACAAAAATTAATAATTAACATAGATCAAATGCTCTTGTGAAAAGCCAGGTCTTAAGTGCTAGAGTTGTTGTTCATTCGTTCAGTCGTCTCCAACTCTTCGTGACCTCATGGACCAGCCCACACCAGAGCTCCCTGTCGGCCGTCACCACCCCCAGCTCCTTCAAGGTCAGTCCAGTCACTTCAAGGATGCCATCCATCCATCTTGCCCTTGGTCGGCCCCTCTTCCCTTTACCTTCCTCCTTCCCCAGCATAACCGTCTTCTCTAGGCTTTGCTGTCTCCTCATGATGTGGCCAAAGTACTTCAACTTTGTCTCTAGTATCCTTCCCTCCAGTGAGCAGTCGGGCTTTATTTCCTGGAGGATGGACTGGTTGGATCTTCTCGCAGTCCAAGGCACTCTAAGCACTTTCCTCCAACACCACAGTTCAAAAGCATCTATCTTCCTTCGCTCAGCCTTCCCTAAGGTCCAGCTCTCACATCCGTAGGTTACTACAGGGAATACCATGGCTTTGACTAGGCGGATCTTTGTTGCCAGTGTGATGTCTCTATTCTTTACTATTTTATCGAGATTGGACATTGCTCTCCTCCCAAGAAGTAAGCGTCTTCTGATTTCCTGGCCACAGTCTGCATCTGCAGTAATCTTTGCACCTAGAAATACAAAGTCTGTCACGGCCTCCACATTTCCTCCCTCTATGTTCCAGTTGTCAATCATTCTTGTTGCCATAATCTTTGTTTTTTTTATGTTTAGCTGCAACCCAGCTTTTGTGCTAGAGTAAAAGGCCCTAAGTCACACATGGCTCTCAAGTAGGGTGGCAAGGAATTCCATAAGGCAGGGGCAGAAATAGGAAACGCCCTGCGTCAGGTACTTTCCAAGTGCACTTCTCTAGGACCCGGTATATAGAGTAAGTCACGTTGAGCTGGTCATTGCGACCTCCGATGATGGGAGAATGAGAGACGATGAACCCTAAGGTACGATGGACCCTGGCCGTAAAGAATTTAAAGGTCAGAACTAGCATCTTATATAGACCACAGTAATCAGTTGGAACCCAATGTAAATGTTGCAGCACTGGTTTTATATGGCATTTCATGGGCGTTCTTGTGAGTAACCTGGCTGCCACATTCTGAACAATACAGAGTTTTCGCGTCGTAGACATCGGAAGGCCAACATACAGGGCGTTGCAATAGTCCAGCCTAGATGTGACTGTGGCATGGATGATCGTATCTACAGTCAATTATTTGTTTGTTTATATATAGATACTAGCCATCCCCTGCCACACGTTGCTGTGGCCCACATGGGGGTTATAATAATAATAATAATAATAATAATAATAATAATAATAATAATAATAATAATAATAATCTTTATTTATACCCCACCACCATCTCCCCAATGGGGACTCGGAGTGGCTTACATGGGGCCAAGCCCGAACAAGAATTACAATATGACAATACAAATTGCAATAAAATAAACAACATAATGTTAAAATAAAACATCAAAGCATATAAAACAATATACGCAGAACATACAAACTAAACATAATAACAAAATGACATGTACATAAAATGATTTAAAAAACCCCGGGTGAGATAAGGGGGCAGAACTAATTGTAAGGGAGAACTCAGAGAGAGATAGGAAAATAAGCAAACCTTCGTACATGGGGGGGGGGGGGGACTCCTGGGACAAGAACGTTGGGGGAGCACTAGCACTAGTTCTGTATGGGAGGTTTGACCCAATTCTATCATTGGTGAGGTTCAGAATGCTCTGTGGTTGTAGGTGAACTATAAATCCCAGCAACTACAACTCCCAAATGTCAAGATTCTATTTTCCCCAAACTCTACCAGTGTTCACATTTGGACATATTGAGTATTCATGTAGAGTTTGGTCCAGATCCATCATTGTTTGAGTCTACAGTGATCTCTGGATGTAGGTGAACTACAACTCCAAAACCAAAGGACACTGCCCACCAAATCCTTCCAGTATTTTCTGTTGGTCATGGGAGAACTGTGTGCCAAGTTTGGTTCGATTCCATCACACACATATATATATGTACACACAAACTCCACTTGCCTGACCACCAACAGACCTCTGAAGATGCCAGCCACAGATGCAGGCAAAACATCAGGAGAGAATGCTACTGGAACATGGCCATACTAATTGTTTCCGTCATAAGAACATGGAAAAAATTATTAAACTACAAAAACATTTTCCTTCCTCTTTTTTTTTTTTTTGCAGGACATAGTTAACTTGTGGCCTGCAGCCACATCGCAAAAAAATCAGTGAAACAAATGAATCATGTGTTTTAACATTTTCACAATTAGCGCTTCATTATTTATAACATGAAAATAATAGCCTGTTTTAATATTATAAATTCTTTATTTGTTAATATTTATAACGTAATTGTGTTTTCATTGCTGTTCTTGTTCTTGAATTATGCTGCCAACTGCGTTGGTTGCAGTGCTAGAAGAAAGGCAAGATATAAATCAAATAAATGAAAACCCACTATTATAAACACTACAGGGGAATGGGAGAGCATAAGTTCTATGTCACCTCCTCTAAAAATGGCTCAGTAGATTAAGCTGAAATCTGGTGGTTTAGAAAGGTTGTTTTTTGCTTTGAGGAATGCTTGCGCCAAGTTGAAATGGATTTGAATGGCATTTTCATAAGGGGGTTTAAACATTGAGTGAGTGATGCCTCCAGAGATTTAACAAGCCTTTTCCTTGTAGATTTTGTTACGTAGCTAATCTGACTGTTGGAATTTGACTCTAGAGACCAGAGTTTGACTCCCCATTCAGCCATGGAAACTCACTGGGGAACCTTGGGCAAGTCACACTCTCTTGGCACCAGAAAACTCTATCATAGAGTTACCTTAAGATTGCCATTACCTAGAAAGACATGAAGGCACACAGCAATATTTTTCATATGATTTGTATTTCTTAATTTCAGAAATGTACTAGGTCAGAGGAAGATCTGGTGGATTTGAACCAAGGAGTCTTAATCCAGCTTTCAAATCACTACACCACACTGATTCTCTGATACCTGAAGGTGATGGTAATTGTCACCATGTCACATTCATCATCATAAGGAGACCCCTACCTCCATGTTTTCCTGACATCAACTCTCCTGCTCATGTCTTCTAATCTCACGGCCATGGCTTCTTTGAATGAGGCTGAATATGCACTGTAGATTTAATGCAGTTTGGCACCACTTTAACTACCGTGACTCAGTGCTATGGAACCTTAAGAGTTGTAGGTTCAGAAGATCTTCAGCCTCCTCTTCCAAAGAATATGAGCCTCCTTCTACACTGCCATATAATCTGGATTATCAAAACAGATAACCCACATTATCTTCTTTGAACTGGATTTTATGAGTCTACACTGCCCGTTCAAGGCATATAATCTGGATTTTATATGGTAGTGTAGAAAGGGACAAAATGCAACACAAATTATGAGCCATAGCAGTTAGAGTGATGCCAAATTAATTCTACAGTGTAAATGCAATGTAGGAGTGGTCAACCCCCAGCTCCACTGGCTGCTGATAAGTTTCCAGTCCCAATTCAAGGTGCAGGTTGTTACCTAAGAAGCTCTGAACGGTCCAGGACCTGCCTATCTGTGCAACCGCCTCCTCCCTTATGAGCCCAGGCGATCCTGAAGATCGTCCGGGGATGCCCTTCTCTCGCTCCCGCCCCCTTCTCAGGCGCGATTGGTGGGGACAAGGGAAAGGGCATTCTCGGTGGTGTCCTCGCGTCTCTGGAACTCCCTCCCCAAGGAGATCAGGCTGGCACCCTACCTAGCCACATGCCGTAAGGAATTAAAAACATGGATGTTTCGTTGTGCATTTGACTGATGACCCCATGACATACAACCGGTATTGCAACCTATTTATCATTTAACCTGAATTTCCTATATTACATTACTATTCAGATTTTATAAGTCATACTGAATTGGATTGTTGTAGGGTTTTGGGTTTTTTTGGGTTATATGGCCATGTTCTAGAGGCATTCTCTCCTGACGTTTCGCCTGCATCTATGGCAAGCATCCTCACTACCTCTGAGGATGCTTGCCATAGATGCAGGCAAAACGTCAGGAGAGAATGCCTCTTGAACATGGCCATATAGCCCCAAAAAACCTACAACAATTCAGTGATTCCAGCCATGAAAGCCTTCGATCATACTGAATTATTTCTGATCCTGTTAGATTGCTCTGTTTTAATTATATTTCCTATGCTATTATACATTTTCATCCACCTTGTTGAACCAATTACTCTTGAATCAGCTCGTATTTTTGGCCTCCCCCCCCCCCTA